AGGCAATTTGGCTTCAAGGGTTGCTTAGAGAGCTTGGTATTGGTCAAGAAAGCATCACACTATTTTGTGATAGTCAGAGTGCTATCCAATTAGAAAGAACCAAGTTTATCATATAAGGACGAAGCACATTGATGTTCGATATCACTTCGTACGAGATATTATAGAAGAAGGTGGAGTCACGGTGCAGAAAATTCAGACTACAGACAACCCTGCCGATATGCTAACAAAAGTAGTGACTGCGATCAAGTTTCAACATTGTTTGAACTTGATCAACATTGTTGAACTTTGAAGATTGAAGTTGAAGACACAATCAAAATTTATCAGTAAGAGAAAATTGAAAAAATGGAATCTTGCCAAGGTGGAGATTTGTTGAATTTGTCAAGATTGATATGAACTAGTGTGAACATTTGAAGCCTTTTTTTTGGAAGAAATTGGTAGATGCATTTTCATGCATTTGCATTGCATGTTCATACTTAATGTGATGTCATGGATGACATTATTAGAGAAATTTCCCTTCTATAAATAGCAAGGGTTTTGTTCATTTGTAAACATCTCTCAATTGCCTTCTTATCTCCTAAGGCATTTGAATCTTCTTTCTCTCTTGTAGTATTTCACTTGTATTTTTGGAGTGAAATAAAATTTGAGTTGATTATGTGCGAGGACTAGGCAAAATTCAAATTTTGCCGATCCTCGTTAATTTCCGGTGTTCCCTTTATTATCATCTGATTTACTATTTATTAGCTACCTTTAGATATAGTAGTTGTGATTTAATCACTCTCTATATATTCGGCTTCCGCAACAGTAATCGCGATAGAAACGTGGACAAGGTATTTTTATGGAACTCATATGGCTTGTTTACTAGATTTTTTTAAATCCATTAAGTTATATCATAAGAAAGGGGAGTCTTAGCGTAACTGGTAAAGTTGGTGTTATGTGACCAGGAGGTCACAGGTTCAAGCCTGTGACGCCTTTCCCGAACCCCGCACATAGCAGGAGTTTAGTGCACTGGGCTACCCTTTTTTAAGTTATATCATAAAAGCATTGTTTGCAACAAATTATTTGTGATACAAAAATAAATTGCAGCCACAATATAAATATGAAGAAACATAATTTTATTGATAAAATAATGCGGGTACAATTCTGTTTACCCCTTGATTCTTCTCTCTAAATTGTTCTCCGTGATTCGAGGGCTTAACCAGCGTATTTCTCTAACATCTGATGATGCAAACTTCCTTAGGATGTATTTGATCTCTAGGAAAAGGAAGAACATTCGTTGTTCACTTCGGTGGCTTCGAGAAAGACAATATTTGATGTCTTCGATCTTTTTATGAATATTCCATGAATTTTTATGGAATTTCGAGATACTTTCAAAGGAAATATGTGGCCCCCTTTTATAGGTGTAGCTAGGTTTTGGGTAGAATAGTCTCCAAGCTAGGGTTTCAGGTAGAGTAGCCTCCAAGCTAGGGTTTCAGGTAGAGTAGCCTCCAAGTTAGGGTTGTAGATAGAGTAGCCTCCAAGAAACCTCGATGGACTCTACTTGTAGCATCTTAAATTTAGGATTTGCCCAAATTTGATATGGATTTGATCCGATAAAATTTTGATGTCTACAAGCATATCGTTCCTTTGTACTGAACCTTGTGATCTTTGCCATTACAGGATCATATAGGCTTTAGATTTGAGATACTTAACAGGGTGGATGAAATTCTGCTATTTAATGAACATATACAACACGGTGCGCAATTGCCTATGAAAGAGGGCAAGCATTTTTCACCTAGAATAAACGATGCATTGGTTAATCTATTTTACAATGGCAAAAGAGAAGTAGATGGAAAAAACAAGAACATATTTGATGAAATAATGAAAGTAAAATAATGAAAGTAAGCAGTTTCATTTTACGCATGTCTGCCTGTCTTATATTAAAGGGCAGCCCGGTGCATGCGCGGAGTCCTCCGGGAAGGGCCGGATCACAAGGGTCTTGTATGCAACCTTACCCTGTATTTTTGCAAGAGGCTGTTTCAACGGCTTGAACCCGTGACCTTGTGGTCACATGACAGTAACTTTACCGGTTACGCCAAGGCTCTCCTTTTCTGTCTGACTTACATTAAGTATTTATTTGTTAATTAAAGGCTTTTCAGCATTGCTGTCTAATATGTTTGCTCTTTCTTCTTCTTTTTTTGTTGAGGGACAGGTTACTGAAGAGAACTCAAGAGAGGACTCATCAAATTTTGAAGGGAACTGAGTGCAACTGAATTTGTAAATGGATTATAGTTAGACACACAAAGTATATATTATCTCTAAGCTATGATTGTCTTATCATATTTAATTTTTTTTTTAAAAAAATTCATCGTCAAATTCACCAAAGCCTCCCCATAAAAGTACGTATATTTGTATGATTATACCAACAACAATGGCAACAACAAATCCAGTGTAGTCCCACAAGTGGGGTCGGGAAAGGGTAGAGTGTACGCAGATCTTATCCCTGCCTTTAAATTAAAAGGCAGTGAGGCTGTTTCCGATAATCCCTCGGCTCATGAAGGGAAAGGGAAAGGCAATAACAAGCAAACCAATCTGACAACCGAAGCGAAAATACAAAACTAACACTAAGTAATGCAATCAGAAAACCGAAACAAGGCAGCAACAAATAGTAACAACAATCTAAGGATAAAATATGAAGGACACTAAGTGATGTATCAAAGCTACTGTAACAAACAAGGACAACAGAATATATCATCATTGCAGCATGACATCTCGTCAAAAAATGATTCTGTATCACATGCTGAATGGTTGGATAAGGCAATTAAGTTTCCGGGTTATCCACGACATCCCATCATCACACACGGGAATCAATTGAGCTGTGGTGTCAATTAAGCTGCCAACGTAACATACAACAAATCCCAAGAATTTATCATGTATATACCAATTTTCAGGCAAATTGACTGATACACTACTATCCCTTCCCTGATAGAGGAACCAACTTGGGATCTTCTTCGCAAGATGCACACTGGTAAACAATGACGAGATGTCATGCTGCAATGATGATATATTCTGAAACAGGACATTTGCAAACAAATTATATATAAAATCATCATGTGCATCATCCTTACCATACAGAGGCATCAATATCACCCTATGTAGTTTCTTTCTCTTCGTTACTAAATCATGGATACTTTTCAGAGCCATATGACAATCTGCATGCAATTCATTTAATTCAGGGGGAAGTTCTGGCAGCTGTGTAAGCCTCTTGCATTTTCTTAAGTCCAAGATTCGAAGAGCACCAAGTTGGGATATGCTTCGAGGCAAAAGCTCAAAATTATTTCCATTGAGATATAATTCTTTCAAAGAGGATAAGGATCCAATGTCTTCCGGAAGTCCTCCATCAATTAGATTGCAGTCACAGAGATTCAGACGTACCAATGACCGTAATCCTTCAGCCACTGGAGGGAACTCAAAGTGCACTCCATCTCTCACTCCAAACTTCAAGATTTTATGTTTGTTCAAGCGTAAGATGGTAGACGGAGGTCGTGAAATTAGAGTACCTCTGGCATCAAGCTCCTCCAAGTTGTCTAAATCCCCTATCTCTTCTGTCAAGCTTACAAGTCTGTAGCAATAAGACACATCTAGACTAACCAAACTTTTCAACTTACAGATGCTGCTTGGAAGAGCTACAAGGTTTCTCTGTTATGATCTAAGGTAATGGCTTCAGCTGGATTCGAAGTGAGGAGGAGCAATAACAGAAATTAGGAAAGAATAACTGAAATTCAAATGGACGGCTAGGATTACTTGAAGTTTTAATGAAGCCCAAGGGCTGCGATTTAGCCACGTCAGCTATGGGTTGTTATAACTAACTACAACAGGGAGAGGAGGAATTCATTCACCAAAGTAAACTCTCTTTCTCCCTCTTCGATTTCTCTCTTCTCTTTCCTCACTCTCTTCTTCTTCTTCTTCTTCCTAACAGATCTCTTTCTCTTCTTCTCTTCAGGTTCTGCAGCTATGGAGGCTAGTTAGCAATAGTTATTTCTTATTCAGTTGTAATAGATAGTTTTCTTTTAATTCAATATATCAGAAAATTATCCAAAAAACACACTCTATTTCCGTTCTGTATTTTTATTCCTTAGCTT